GTGTGCGCACCCCCACATGCCCTGCCCCTGTGCATGCACAACAGAGACCTGATGACCAGCTAGCCAGCGGGTGGCACGTGTGCATGCATGACCGAGCTGAACTGGGGCGACGGCTCCCGTGCCCACAGAGAGGGCACTGCGTGCCACTTGTGGCACGCATGCCATAGGTTCACTATCATGGCCCTATACCATTTCTGACAGATGGCTGTACAGTCTCTTCTTGAAAGCCTCCAGTGATGAAGCTCCCACAACTTCTGACTGGGCAAGCTCTTCCATTGGTTGATTGTTCTCACTGTCAGAAAATTTCTCCTTATTTCTAGGTTGAATCTCTCCTTGATCAGTTTCCATTCCATTATTCCTTGTCTGGCCTTCAGGTACCTTGCAAAACAGGTCATCTCCCCTAGTCCTTCTTTTTATTAAACTAGACATACCCAGTTCCAGCAACCGTTCTTCATACGTTTTAGCCTCCAGGCCCCTAATCATCTTTGTTGCTCTTCTCTGCACTCTTTCTAGAGTCTCCACATCTTTTTTACATTATAGTGATCAAAACTGAATGCAGTGTTCCAAGTATGGCCTTACTAAGGCTTTATGGATCAGTACTAAATTTTGATCAGGTGACCATGGGGATGCTGCAATGTTCATTGGAAAAACATTAGTCGCTTTTATCAGAGTTGTTGCAACATTGAGTGGTCACTAAGCAAATGGCTGTAAATCAAGGACCTGTATATTCTATTTCTCTCTTCTCAGAGAGATCAATGAGATGAAGCTTATTTCTAGCTAGGATAATGCCTTCTCTCTCTCATCCACTTCCTTAATCATCTTTCATGAGAATTAATTTCCTTTCTGCCAATATTGATTAGAAAATGACGACAGAGGACAAAGTCCCATGCAGCTTAAAATTCCGTGCAATAGGAAATCGTTCAATAACATAACTCCGTTGAATGTTGTTCCCACGTCCTAGAATGATGACAGCTTTGCTTTCAGGACTGGGCCCCGGAGCAATCGGAAGGAATCCCAAAGGCCTGGAGAAATATCATAAATGAATGCATGAGATAAGCAACTAAGTATAACTTTTAGGAGCAGCCATTCCCCAACTCCAACACAAACAAACAAATAAGTCATGAATGAGAGTCATGGATGGCAGACATTATATATTACTTCTCTCTTTATTTATTTATTTATTTATTTGTTATTCTGCCTTTCTTAGTTTATAAGTAAACCAAAGTGGCAAACATACATATTACTTCTTCCTCCTATTTTACCCCACTGCAACAACTTTATGAGGTGGGTTGGACTGAGAGAGATGACTGGCCTAAAGTCACCAAGATGACTTGCATGCCAAAGGCAGGACTAGAACTCACAGACCCCTGGTTTCCAAACTAGCACCTTAACCATTACACCAAACATTCTGCTTCCGTTTCTACTGAAGCTCAGATGTAGCTATAGCATTGTCAGAAGGCCACAACAAGTTCAGTTTTCTGGAGATTTTCCTTTGGTACACCACAGCTAGAGGTTTGCAAGGTTTGCAAGTCAAGGAGAGGACAAAGCTGCCTCCCTTAAAACCTAGCATTTGATAGGTGCAAGATGCATTGATGTCTCTATATTTTTCTTGGTAAAATGAATCTGAATGAGAAAAGGCAGAGAAAACCCTTGGCCAAGGAACCAAGACAGAACATTGCCTTGGAAAAACCTTTCAAATCTATTGAAAGCTAGACAGGCATGTTTAGCTATTCCTTTCCAATGTAAGAGTATATATGTAGCCCAGGGTTACATATGGAGTCCTGTGGAGTCCTAGATGTTCTCAGAAATTAGCTGTTTGCTTGCAGACATTTCATTACCCAACTAGATATGATCATCAGTATGAATAAGTATAGAGCCGTAATGGTGAACCTATGGCACGTGTGCCACAGCTGGCATGCAGAGCCCTCTCTGCTGGCACGCGAGCCGTCACCCAGCTCAGCTGCACTGCGCATGCGTGCGCGCCTCCTGCCAGCCAGCTGATTTTTGGGATGCGGTGAGGTGGGGTGCACGCGGGAGACACGCGTGCATGCGCGGGGTTGCATGTGCATGTGCGGGGGTCACGCATGTATGCGTAGGGGGAAGGGGGGCATGCCCACAGCCCATTTTTGGTCCCAGGAGGCTTTTGGGAGGCCGACTAGGCCCAAAATGGGGCATGGGGTGTGTGTGTGGTGCTACCCCCCCCAACAGCCTGTATTTAGTCCCAGGAGGCTTTTGGGAGGCCTACTAGGCCCAAAATGGGGCATGGGGTGTGTGTGTGGTGCCCCCCCCGCAGCCTGATTTTGGTCCCAGAAGGCTGTAGGGAGACCTACTAGGCCCAAAATGGGGCATGGGGGTGTGTGTGCCCCCCCCGACAGCCTGATTTTGGTCCCAGGAGGCTGTAGGGAGGCCTACTAGGCCCAAAACCGGGGGCAGGGGATCACGTGTGCATGCATAGGGAGCATGGGAGGTCATGTGCACATGCGCAGGGGGATGCATTGCATTATGAGTGCTGGCATGCATGCGCTTTTGGCACACAATGACAAAAAGGTTAGCTATCACTGGTATAGAGTTTGTTCTCTATTTATATAGTAGTTTGCCCTGCCCATGTTGTCTTCTTTTCTTTTTGGTAGTTCTTTAATTAGGCTATTGTTTCCTGCTTCTTTGTTTGTTTGATGTTAATCCCTGCTTATCTGGGTTTTGGTTATTGGAGACGATTTGTTCTGTTCTTTTTGTTTTTATTGACTCTTGATTAGTGTTGTTTATTTCTGGTTTTCTCAGTTGCAATGTATGGCTGTGAAAGTTGAACCACAAGAAAGGCTGAGCACCAAAGAACTGAGGCCTTTGAACTGCTGGAGAAGACTCCTGCAAGTCCCTTGGTCTGCAAGGCGATCAAACTGGTCAGTCCTAGAGGAGATCAACTCTGACTGCTCTTTAGAAGGCCAGCTCCTGAAGATGAAACTCAAATACTTTGGCCACCTAATGAAAAGGAAGGACTCACTGGAGAGGAGCCTAATGCTGGGAAAGACTGAGGGCAAAAGAAAAACGGGACGAGAGAGAACGAGGTGTCTGGATAGAATAATTGAAGCAGTTGGCGGAGCTTAAATGAACTCCAGGGGATGGTAGAGGAAAGGAAGGCCTGGAGGAACGTTGTCCATGGGGTCACGATGGCAACTAACAACAACAATGGTTTATTTCAATGTGTCTATTGACCTGATATTTTGTTCCAGTGTAACAAATGCAATGCACATAGTGGATTGCTTGTTTAATTCAGATTTAGCAATGTCATACAGCTAATGGGATTTTACGCTGGATCAGTGGAAGTACCTTGTCCAAGTCATGATTAGTAATAGTTCTATTTTATTTGGTTGGGACTATAAGTATTGTGTATAATCCAGACAAACAGGGGTCAGAAAAAGCATGTGGGATCACCAGAGGATTCTATATTCTAGGCATGAATAAAGCTCAAAGGAATTGGGAATATTTCACTATCTGCAAATAATTGAAAAGATGTCACATAAATATTGCAAGAGCAGAAGCAAAGAGCTTGAGATCAGATAATGGTTATCAAAATGCCCTTCACTTCCAAAGCAAGAAACTCTTTACTATGTTAAGTAGGAAAGAAAGAGATTCAAGGGATAAACCCTGATGCTTATCCTGTAAACAGAGGACTTGCAGAAACGATCTTCATTATTGGGGCTTCTTGTTCTGGGATATCTATCTCAACCTTGTCAGGGTGGCGGTGGCAATGGAGTGATTAAAAAGCCCCCCTGTTTTTGTATGCCCTTAGGGGACAGTTCAATAGCCGCATGGCAATCACCACTTCAACATTTTTTGAAGACACTTTGAGAATATCTATCTTCTTGATGCTTTGCTGCCAACTCCAAAATTTGGATTTGAGCTTCTGGAAAGAAGTTTATCACTCAATCCTCACTCAAGCCAGATAGAAGCAGACTTCTCCACCATGTGCCATTTGTCAGCAGAAGCCGTTTTAAGTTAGGGGAAGTCAGATGTTGGTATTCCTAAGTGTTTCTAGCAATAAGAACACTTTCACAGTAGATTCCCAACCCCAGACAGTTAATAAGGAGATGCGTTCAAGCGCAGGCTGGACAACCATCAGATCGGGATGGTTTAATTTGGATTCCTGGAGGGGTTTATAGGATTGGACTAGATGATTTAAGCACTGCTTGGATTAGAATAGAATAGAATAGAATAGAATAGAATAGAATAGAATAGAATAGAATAGAATAGAATAGAATTCTTTATTGGCCAAGTGTGATTGGACACATAAGGAATTTGTCTTTGGTGCATATGCTTTGGTACATTAAAAAAAAGATACATTCATTAAGAATCATAAGGTACAACACTTAAGGATAGTCATAGGGTACAAACAAGCAATCAAATCATACTAGGAAACAATCAATATAAATCGTAAGGATACAGCAACAACTTACAGTCGTACAGTCATAAGTGGGAGGAGATGGGTGATAGGAACAATGAGAAGATTAATAGTAATAGTAAACAGTGAATAGTTTGACAGTGTTGAGGGAATTATTTGTTTAGCAGAGTGATGGCGTTTGGGGAAAAAACTGTTCTTGTGTCCAGTTGTTCTGGTGTGCAATGTAATATATAGCGTCCTTTTGAGGGTAGGACTTGAAACAATTAATGTCCAGGATGCGAGGAGGTGTGTAAATCCAACAGCTCCTCGCAGTCTCATCTTCAGGAAAAGTGGTGGGTGGGTGGGTGGGGGACTCAGAATGCCCTTCGCCCACGGGCCCTCTTTGGTTTTCCTTCCATGGCTTTTAGATCAGACCTGGAGCTCTCTCCTTGGACCCCCGTCAGGGCAGCCTTAAGGAGCCGCTCCAAGGACACGATGCGGGGAGACGGGGCGGCTGGGCGGCGGCGCGCAGGTGCCCGAGGAGAGCAGGAAGGGAAGGAGAGCCGCGCTCGTCGGAGGAGGAGGAGGAGGCAGTGGGAGGAGAGCCCGCCCCTGCATCGGGCTTGCCTGGGTTTGGGAAAGAAGAAAGCGCGTGGACGAGACGGCAGAGAAGAGGAGAAGAGAAGAGCTCGCTCGACGCTCGGCAGCGGGACGATCGAAGGAAGGCAGGCAGAAAAAAAGGGGAGCCGGGCCAGATCGCCTTGGCCGAGGAGCGAAGGGAGAGGGACGATACCTGCGGAAGGTGGGCGGAAAGCAGCCAAGGCTCGGAGCCCAAAGCAGAAGGGGCGAGAAGAAGGAAAGGAAGGAGGAGAGGAGAGGAGAGGAGAGGAGAGGAGAGGAGAGGAGAGGAGAGGAAGGAAGGAAGGAAGGAAGAAAGGAAGGATATTTAATATTTGTACTTGATGTTTTTACTTGGCTGTTCACCGCCCTGAGTCCTCAGGGAGAAGGGCGGTATACAAATTCAAAATAAAATAAAATAAAATAAAATAAAGGAAGGAGAGGAAGGAAGGAGAGGAAGGAAGGAAGGAAGGAGAGGAAGGGAGGAAGGAAGGAAGGAAGGAAGGAGAGGAAGGAAGGGAGGAAGGGAGGAAAGGAGAGGGAAGAAGGAAGGAAGGAAGGAAAGGAGAGGAAGGAAGGAAGGAAGGAAGGAAGGAAGGAAGGAAAGGAGAGGGAAGAAGGAAGGAAGGAAGGAAGGAAGGAAGGAAGGAAGGAAGGAAGGAAGGAAGGAAGGAAGGAAGGAAGGGACTGATTGACTCTTCGGGACAACTTCGACGTTGGCGTCCCGGAGCAGCGACTTGGCGCCGGCGAACTCTTGCAAGCGCCAGGGCAGGTGAGCCTCGCGGAGGAACCGAGCGGGGCGAACGCTGCTACGGCAACAACAACCGCAGCACCAGCACCAGCAGCAGCAGCAGCATGTTCGTTTCTTCCGGCTTCGACTGAGACGGGATGAGGACCGTGGCGTTCCTTCTGGGCAAGGCGCTGAAGAGAAGGTTTCGCCTCCTGCTGGTCTTCGGGCTGCTGGCCGTGGGGCTCTGCGCAGCCTACCTGGAGCTGGTGGTGTTGGCCGAGAGGAATGGACACCCCTTGAACCACCGTGAGTTACCTGGGGTCGGTGGGTGGGTGGGTGGGTGAGCAACTGAGCAACAGGATCCTCCTCCCTGCTGAAGTAGGGCTTGGGGGAGCTTGGTCCTTTGCAGGTGCCAACTTGGCTTAAAACTGCAGGGCGCTTAGTCCGCCTGGCATCCGCTTTCCGTCCCCTCTTTAGAAAACTCACAACTTAAGAGCAGTGAGCATCTTGGTCGGTGCCCTGAAACCACAAGAAGTCCTGTCTTTTCAATCCTTCTCATTGAGCCACAGTCCTGGGAGGTGGGGTGATGGGGGGGGCAAGAAGTCCACAGGTTGGCATCGGGAGGGCAGGTGGTGGCGTTGTCGGTGTTTGTAATTGTACAGGCCCCGTCGGCACTTCGCCGCAGCCCAACATATGCCATGGCAACGTCCCTTTTTTTTTTTCTCCTTGCGATGGTCCCAGGTGGTTGCCTTCACCTACCTTCCCAGCTCAGCGGCCTTAACTCATCCTTTCTCTGTACGTCTAATAACACTTCTCCCTTTAGTATAAGATACAATGGCCGTGAGGGAGGTACATGCCGTAGGAGTCACCCCTGTTCTTCCGTGGGGGTGGGGAACTGTGACAAGGGTGTCAGGATGATGTTTGGGGGTACAGATGGTGAATTTGATGCTGGGATCACTTTCGCCAATTCAAGGATGGGTGGATAATCCTTCAACTAAGCAGTGGGGAAAATGCCCTCACTAAGGCTTAATGGGGCAAATGTAAATACATATAGTATTGAGGGTGCTGTTAGTGTGAAAATGCCTATTATTATATGATGTACTAAACACTTAGACAGGTGGCCCTCGAATTACAACCGTTCAGAGTTACAACTGAAAAAAGTGACTTTATGACCATTTTTCACAGTGACAACCTTTGTTGCATCCCCACGATCGTGGGATCCAATTTCAGGTGCTTGGCAACTGACACATATTTATGACCGTTGCAGTGTCCCAGGGTCATGGGATCCCCTTTTGCGACCTTCTGACAAGCAAAGTCAATGGGGAAGCCAGATTCACTTAACAACAGGGTTGCTAAATTATCAGCGGCAGTGATTCACTTAGCAACTGAGGCAAGAAAGTTCGTAAAATGAGACAAAGCTCCGTTAACAAATGTCTCACTTAACAACAGAGATTTTGGGCTCAATTGCGGTCATAAGTCAAGGACTACCTGTATTAGCATTTCATTTAAAATTAGGCAGAAATGTAAGGATTCTGGACAAGGACCTACTATGCAGTCCTTGACTTACAACTGTTAGTCCTTGACTTACAACAGTTCTTGACTTAACTGTTTGTTCAGTGACTGTTCAAAGTTACAACGGCACTGAAAAAAGTGACTTTTGACCAGTTTTCACACTTATGACCATTACAGCATCCCTAGGGTCACATGATTAAAATTTGGCCGCTTAGAACCAGGGTACATTTATGATGGTTCCAGTATCCTGGGTTCATGTGATCACCATTTGTTACCTTCCCAGCCAGCTTCTGACAAGCAAAATCAGTGCTATCGTCACTTCATGAAGCATAATTCACTTAACAACTGCAGCTTTTGCTTAACAACTGTGGCAAAAAGAAGCCTAAAATGGGGTAAAACTCACTTAACAATTGTCTTGCTTAGCAATGGAAATTTTGGAGTCAACTGTGGTCGTAAGTCAAGGACTACTTATACTGGTTTCTTCTGCCTATGTCCAGTTGATCCAAAAAGGGACCAAAAATGGTGACAGTGTTAAATTGGGCCAAACCATCTTAAAATGTTTCTGGTAACAGGATGTGGTCCTTCTGTGAACTTTCCAAAAATCTCTTGGATTCATGTCAGAGTGCCCACAGTGTGACTATGTGAGACAACCCAGAAGTAAATACAATAAACAGAGGATTGTATTTAAATAGTGGTTTTATATATATATATATATATATATATACACACACACACATAGTACACGTACTTTAGTTGGACCTCAAACAAACAGCAACTGGCAATTACAACACGGAAGCACCCCCCCCCATAGGGTCTCTTCTTATTACAGGCTCTTAAAGTGATACCAGCCCAAAAACCTTGCTGACTCATTTCCAGCTTTACATCATCGTAGCAGCTGGTCAGCTCTTAAATCTTTACCCTGACAATTCAGAAATCTACCTTACCCATCGTCTTCCATTCTCCTTCTTCTCTCGACCAACAGAATAGCTTTTGCTTACCTGTCATCTGTTCATATTGCATGCTCATAATGTGCAGGTTTCTGCCTGTTGAACATCATCTCAAGGGAGCAGTCTTTATTTTTTCCAAGAGTGATCGGTTGGTTCATCTTATAGTTCATCTTATTATTAGCCATCTCCATCTTGGTAAATCATTTATGTCTTTCTTCCTACTGTGTCTTTCTCAATTTCATACTTGCACAATGGAAAAATAACTGCTTTACAGATTCTGATCCTTCTTGCCATAGAAATAACCAAATTTATTCGTCATAAGTTTGTCACTGCCTTTCTCCTAGGATTAAGAGAACGTTCATATTTTTCCTGCCCCAAAAAACCATCAATTATTATAAATTCACTAAGCATACTGGTTGATATTACCTTTGTCTTCTTAATATTTAGTATTAACCCAGATTTTTCACATTCCATTTTAATCTTTCAATGAATTATTTCATTCTTTCTTTCAATGAATAAGTTGTCTTTACTTGCAACCAGGAAAGTGCATCTTTAACTGTTAGGGTTTCTGTGGTCAGTTTTAATTCCAATTGTCACCTTTTCTAATCCTTCCATTCTTCAAAGGTATTTACTGTATAAGCTAAACAAATATAGGTCCAATATGCATCGTGTCTGTTGCTGTTTATTTCAGTATTTTTCATTCTTTTATTTTAATTCTCATTTATTTATCAATAAATATAAAGTACTTAATATTTTCCTGCTTGTTAGTTTCCATTTTTTTTTCTTTTTAAGGAAACAATTGCATCAAGGGACGTGGTGGCTCAGTGGCTAAGACACTGAGCTTGTCCATTGAAAGGTCGGCAGTTCAGTGGTTCGAATCCCTAGTGCCGCTGCGTAACAGGGTGAGCTCCCGTTACTTGTCCCAGCTTCTGCCAACCTAGCAGTTCAAAAGCACATAAAAAATTCAAGTAGAAAAATAGGGACCACCTTTGGTGGGAAGGTAACAGCGTTCCGTGTGTCTTTGGCATTTAGTCATGCCGGCCACATGACCACAGAGACATCTTTGGACAGCGCTGGCTCTTCGGCTTTGAAATGGAGATGAGCATCGTCCCCTAGACCCGGAAATGACTAGCACATTATGTACGAGGGGAACCTTTACCTTATTCAAGCTGTCTTGAGTTGAAACTGAATGTACATGTTTAAGTAAATATGTTTTGTAACTTTACTGTCAGTTTCTTTTTACTGCCAGCTTCTTTTTACTGCCGACTATATAATATTATACTACTGGCTTGTAAATTTACTAACAGCTTCTCCCATGACTCTGCTTGTCGGAAGCCAGCTGTGAAGGACACAAATGGCGATCCCATGACCATGGAACACTATATAACATTTGTAAATACCCACCGTTCCATTTGCAGTCACGTGATGGTCGTAAGTGCAAGGACTAATCGTAAAGCCATCATAACTTTGAACGGTCGCTAAACAGGGCAATCATTAAGAAAGGGCTACCTGCATAATACATAAAGCTGAGAGACGGATCACCGCTTCAATACATTTCTTTAAGGTACCTTAAGGTAAATGCAGCCCACTATATATGAATTGGCCATTCACTGACAGTGGGGCTTAAGGGCAGGATTTTATAACTTTAGAAGTAGGCAAAAACTACGTCATTTGCTTGTGTTGGAAGAAATGTCCATCTGGGTTCAGTTCCAAGTGGGAAGAAAGACACTGGAAACATGGAGACTGCTTGGAAAGATGGTTTAATGGTGGACAGGACCAGTGGTGGGTTCCTCCCAGTTCCTCCCAGTTCTGCCGAGCTGGTAGCAGTGACAATATGACGTCACCGAACCGGTTCTGCCCCCCCTGCCCCCCCGTCCCCCCCCACGTTATTCTTACCTTTTATTTGGCCCCACCCCCAATCTTTGCTGCCTCCTGAGTCCCAGCTGATGGGCTATAAGGAAAAAAACTGTTTAAACTCTTTCCGCGGGGCTTCAAAGGGCCGCCCTACAGCTGATCAGTGGTAAAAGGCAGTTTGGTAGTAGACCGGTGCCTCCAAAAGCAAATGAGTAGACCGGTGCTTGCAAAAATACATGAGTAGACCGGTGCCTGCAAAAATACATGAGTAGACCAGTGCTTGCAAAAATACATGAGTAGACCAGTGCCTGCAAAAATAAATAGGTAGACTGGTACAGCTCTGCAAGCAGTTAAAAGCCTTTTGCTAAATCCTAAAGAATTGTCACATGACCATCAAGCCATGCCCACAAAATAAGCCACGCCCACAGAACTGGTAGTAAAAACATTTAGACCCCACCCCTGGACAGGACCACATGGTTTTGAGGTCCTGGGCAAAAAGAACACATGGGTGAGAGAGATTTCTACCTTCTCTTGGGCCCCACTTTGGAGCTTCCTGTTCCCATGTAAGAAATGCACTCTGATTGGTTGTCTGACTTCCATGGGACCATGGAGGGGTAACTTTGTACGTTGTCTTTTAAGTCCCAGGCCTGGTTGAATCTTGCTGAGTGATGATGTAATGAAGGGGCTTTGGGCAATTCCTATTATGGCTTAATGGCTTCGTCCTGATTTGGATCTTGAGTGAAGGCTAATCCTATCATGTCCTGAGGGAGGGTCATGTCTTTTATGTTGTAGATAAGCTGGCCCAGCCTTTTGTCCTGTAGATAGGATGGCTCAATCTTTCTGGGGCTGTTAACAAAGGTGGGGGCTGCTTTCCAAAAGCATGTATCTCCTTTTGTCATCCAGGGAGGTATAATATTCTGCCTTTTAAATATTTCTTCGAATATTTCATTCGTCTAGGAGAGGGGTGGGTGCTAACTTCCTACACTTTGCTGACTGGGGAATTCTAGGAACTGAAGTCTTTCAGTTCTCAAGGTTGAGAAACATTGAATTATATACCAAGGCATAAAGTAATTTATTTGGGTTGGGTTTAGTTTTTGCAATCCAGCCTTGATAGTTTATACTTTATGACTTGATAGTCTGTGAGCTTGAACAGGTGTGATTTATTCAGTAAATCATGGTTAATTGTAAAAGCTGAAGCCCAGGTCATTTGATGAGGTAAAAACTTAAGGGAGGATCTATAGCAAGAGTGGGTAATTAATTTTCCCAAAAGAAACTGGGACTACAGGTAGTCCTCCAGTTATGACCACAGTTGAGCCCAAAATTTATGTTGCCGAGGAAGACATTTGTTAAGGGACTTCTGCCCCATTTTACGACTTTTCTTGCCACAGTTGTTAAGCGAATCACTGCATTTTTTAAGTTAATCACACAGTTGTTAAGTGAATCTGGCTTCCCCCTTGACTTTGCTTGTCAGAAGGTCACAAAAGGGGATCACGTGACCTTGGGACACAGCAACGGTCATAAATATGAGGTAGTTGTCAAGCGGCTGAATTTTGATCACGTGACCTGGGGGAATGCTGCAATGGTTGTAGGTGTGAAAAATGGTGATAAGTCACCTTTTTCAGTGCCGTTGTAATTTTGAATGGTCACTAAATGAACTGTTATAAGTCGAGGACTACCTGTATTGTGAAGGGATGCCATTGCCCTGGCCCCTACTGCTGACATTCCACCATCAGCCCTTGCCTCCCGAAAATGCCATTCCACCCACCGACTCCGACCCTCCACTCTCCAAGTTGTGCCCCGCCTCCTTCTGCCATTGCCCTGCCACTGGTGACACCCCACCCTCCAACAACAACACCTACCAACATGGGCCAGACGGGCTGCATGTGGCCCACGGCCAATAAAATGATCTATAGTGGGGGTGTCAAACTCGATTTCATTGAGGGCCGCATCAGGGTTGTGTTTGACCTCAGGGGGGCCAGGGTGGACAATGGCCAGGGTGGGCGTGGCCAGCTCGACCTCACTTGTGTCAGGGGCGCCTGTGGTTGCTCAAGCGCTCTGCCAGTGAAAATGGGCTCCCGAGCTCCGTTTTTGGCTGCAACAGCTTCCTGCCAGAGAAAACGGAGCTCAGGAGGGCCACCTGCTGGCAGAGGCACCACATCCCAGTCCTTTGCTGTTTCCAGGGTGGTCCCACAAGCCACATCTAAGCACCTCGCAGGTTGGGTCCGGGCCCTGGGCCTTGACTTTGACACCCCTGATCTATAGCAAAAAGGAAGGCACAAATTTCAGTATTTCCTTCCATCTGCTGTTCAACAGGTAATAGGAATTGTTATCTGAAGAGCTGTAATTCACTATTTTCCCACGTCAGTCAGTGTGAAATGGGAACTGTAGCGTAATATGTTTGTTCTGCTAAACCACGGTTTGATTACATGAAAGTTTTAACTGTACCTTTATCATCTCAGTCAGCATAACTAAAGGGAAAAGGCTACTTGTAAATAGTTGGATCATTTTATCTAGTAATTATCTGAAAATAGTATTCAGAGGATATCCCAGAGTACAGGGGATTAAAAATGGATTATTTGCTCTCTCCTCTTAGAGAAAAGGAAAGGCCATTCTTTGACTGTATGGCATCCTTGTCTATTTGTATGTCAGTGACCACTCGCCTTAAGAGCTGTGGTGGCACAGTGGTTAGAATGCAGTACTGCAGGCTACAGCTGCTGGCTTCCGGCTGCCAGAGTTTTGGCAGTTCGAATCTCACTGGCTCAAAGTTGACTCAGCCTTCCATCCTTCCGAGGTTGGTAAAATGGGGACCCAGATTGTTGGGGACAATATGTGACTCTGTAAACCACTTAGAGACTGGAAAGCACTGTGAAGCGGTATATAAGTCTAAGTGCTATTGCTATTGCTATTGCCTTCCTATCAAGAACAGAAACCATGATTTAGAGTGGTGGTCCTCAACCTTTTTGGCTGCATGAATCAGCATGCAATGGCGGCAGGGGAAGAGGGAATGGGTTCATGCCAGTGGTGGCATTCACTTATTTTCGCTACTGGTTCGCCAATGGGAGTGCGCGCGCCACCTCTGCGCATGCACAGAGCATTCTACACATGCACAGAGTGTCTGTGATGACGTCCGGGCAGGTGGGCAGAGCCTCCCGCCGCCACTGCTACCGGTTTGCCCGAACTGGGGAGAACCGGTAGAATCCCACCACTGGTTCATGCACTCAACTTAATTTTGCGCATGTGCAAATGAAGCTTCATGCACTCGCCTGCTGCTTGTGCAGCCCAGTTCCCAACAGGCCGCAGACTGGTACCAGTCCACATACCTCTGGTTGGGGATCCGTGATGTTTAGAGTGATGTTGGCTACATAAGAAGCAAGTACACAAATAACCTCAGGAGATTTTTTAAAACAAAATAATTTTCTCACAATGTTCAAGTTAAAGGTAGTAATTGTAAATAAATGTTTCCTAAGTACATGAGACAAGAGCTCTTTAATATGCTCATTTGACAAAATGATACAAGCGTGTGGTACATAAATATTTAATCAATATATTGCATAACTCTTTGTGACATGAACCAGGGGTGAAATGCTCCCGGTTCGGACCGGATCACCCGAGCTGGTAGCGATGGCGGCGGGTAGTTTGGAGAACCGATAGCAAAAATCCCTGCCCCACCCCACCCCCCCAATGCCCAGCTGAGCCGCACAATCATCAGAGGCTTTTTTTATTATTATTTTTAAAAGCATTTTTTTCTACAACCTCTTCGGCCGAAAAAGCTTTTAAAAGTAAAAAAAAAAAAAGCCTCTGATGATCCCGCGGCTCAGCCACACCCACAGAACCGGTAGTAACAAATTCTACATTTCACCACTGCCATGAACTATATACATAGCTCATACTTTGTCATAGTTAATTGCAGCAATTAAAATTAATGAAGAAAGTTCCCATAAATCGAACCTTGAAATAGGAAGGTAATACTAATTCCTTCAGGGAAAGAGGGAATACCAAAATGCAAATACCATCTAATATGATTATGAATAGTAAAGAGTACAATACTGCCTGTATTATTTACTATTTACGCTCTAGCACAGGGATGTTAAACTCAAGGCCCGTGGACCGAATCTGGCCCGCGGGTTGCTTAAATCTGGCCCACGGGGCTGGCATGGAAATATCAAAGGACCAGCCTGCAGTGCCTCTGGCGGCTAAAACAGGCTCGTTTTCACCCTCCATGGGCTCCTGCAGCACTCTGCTGGATGAAAAATAGGCCGGAAAACAGGCTGGAAAACAGGTCCGAAAACAGCCGGCCGAGTGCTGCAGGAGGACCATGGAGGGTGAAAACAAGGCGCAGGGGGGCCACATGGACCTCCCGCACCCTGTTTTGACCAGCAGGGTGCTGCAGGAGTCATCCGTCCAGTGGTGGGATTCAAGTAATTTAACAACCGGTTCTCTGCCCTAATGATTTCTTCCAACAACCAGTTTGCCGAACTGCTCAGAAAGTTAACAACCGGTTCTCCCGAAGTGGTGCAAACTGGCTGAATCCTACCACTGCATGCGTCCCACCCACCCCACCCCGCCCCACCCACCCACCCACCCGGCCTGAAGAGGATCCAGTTTGACACCCCTGCTGGTGCTTGACGAACTGCAGATTTCACCGCTGGTGCAACTGTCATAAATGCATGCTGGTTGCCAAGTGCCCGAATTCTAATCATGTGATCATGGGAACGTTGCAACAGTCGGATGTATGAAAAACAGTCATAAGTCATTTTTCCTCCCAGCTTCGAACGGTCACTAAATGAATGGTTGAAAATTGAGGATCACCTGTAATAGGAACCAATCAAACTAAGCAAGTAAATATGATAAAGTCTGCACTACTTAGAAGTCCTTGTTTGCTTGGTGTGGCTGTCCCTCTTCTGCCTGTGCAATGCCTGTGTGTATGTATATATAAATAATTTCAGACTCTTAGGAGACATGGATTCTCTTTCTTTCACATAGCAATTTAAAAGACAGCTGCCAAAAGCTGGAGGAAAATATACCTCTGTTTAGTTTAAGGATTTGCTGGTGGCTTGTGAAAGTAGTCTTTGAGACGGCAAGCACTATCATGCTGCCAGTAAACATTTATTTTGAGGTGTAGCAATGTGAAGCCCCCCCCCTTTTTTTAGTTTGCTATTTTAGCTCAGTAAAATTTCCACCTTTTGCAGGTAAAAGCCAGCTCTAGTTTTTATTTTTTTTTCGGTAGAGGGGATGGTTCCAAAAGAAGGCCTCAAGAGCTCTCGGGGATAGAGCAGTTCCAATATTTTATTTATTCTCCACTTTTATTATCTGGCTTAATCTGTCTTCGCAGTCCCCCAGGTGAAAAAAATCTAAATACAAGCAGCAGTTATATAGCACTGCTGTTGCTGATGCAATACAGCCTGTCTCTACGTTTGTTGTTCTAAAACCAAGGTACATTTTTCTCTCTCTCTCTCAATAATTTCGCAGGCCAAAAGAAGCCTTTACAAGGTCAGTATTTCCATGTCTGTTTGGTAACAGAACATTCTCTGTTGAACTCTTGATGTGTGCGATGGTTTCACTGGCTCGGAGGATACCCGGTTGAGACAAGCTGTTATATGATCTCTGCTGGAAAACAGTAGGCCGCTTCAGTCTAGGGGCAAGAAAACATCAGTAGCTGATCCTGAAGTACAACACTTAAAGAGCTTAACCTTTACTGTAAATGACAAGGGATGCTCAGAGCTTCACTTCAACACCACCTGAAGGGCTACTCAGATTTAAACCTTGTCTAAGGCATTCTAACCATGGTGGGTTGCCCCCGGTTCGCACCAGTTCTATAGAACTGGTAGTAAAACCGGCGGGAGGCTCTGCCCACTGACCCTGACATCATCAAAACGCTTCTGCGCTTGCACAGAAGAGCGTGCGCGACCGAAGCAAGCGCGCGCGTGCGGCCCCGCTGCGAACCGGTAATAAAGGTAAGTAGAACCCACCCCTGATTCTAACAGTATAGTAAAATGCACTGTGTGCTTGTTTTGGCCTGGTGTGATGCATTGGTGGGTTTCAGCAGGTACTGGCCAATTCTGGAGAACCGGTAGCGGACATTTTGAGTAGTTTGGAGAACCGGTAGTAAAAATTCTGACTGGCCCCGCCCCCATCTATTCTCTGCCTCCCAAGTCTCAGCTGATCAGGAAGAAATGAGGATTTTGCAGTAACCTTCCTCTGGAGTGGGGTGGGAATGGAGATTTTACAGTATCCTTCCCCTGCCACGCCCACCAAGCCACACCCACAGAACTGGTAGTAAAAAATTTTGAAACCCACCACTGGTGTGATGTGACAGCCTACATCTGTGGGTTTTAAAGCATGTGTTCTTTATATGTGATCCGTATTTTACTTATAGTCTCAAGCAACACTTGGTTCAACTTGTTTATGCCTGGAAGCTAAGAAAAGGTCAGGCCGGGTTCACGCTTGGTATGGATTCCACTGGAGAATTACTAGAGCTGTAGGAAGTGAAACGATTAAATCCCAAGGACATCCCAGTGGCACATAATTTCTGTCATCCTAGCAATATAACTGCACAGCTGTATTAATGAAATTCATCTGGAATCAAACTTAGCTCCTAGGAGGCTTTATTTACCGAGGCTGAAGCAAAGATGAAAACGTTGCCACAAATATTTTTCTCCTATTAAAAGCCATAAAACAACTAAAAAAGAATTAGAATATTAAAATCAAACAGGGGCACTGCAAAAATTAAAAGTGCCAACAGTTTACTATGTAGGTTCAGGATTAGCTACGGCAGGGGTCTCCAACCTTGGCAACTTTAAGACTTGTGGACTTCAACTCCCAGAATTCCTCAGCCAGCAAAGCAAAGCTGGCTGAGCAAAGCTGGCTGAGGAATTCTGGGAGTTGAAGTCCACAAGTCTTAAAGTTGCCAAGGTTGGAGACCCCTGAATTATGGTATAATGAATCAGAGGGGAGGGAACAGTCTCACAGTTAGGGTCACCTATGTCCAAAAAGTTCCCTCTCAGGTTGTTACATAGTGAATTCCTCAGATAGATGCTACATTCTAAAGATGGGATCCTCACCAGATCTTAGTGCTCAGACCAGTGGTGAAATCCATTTTTTTTTACTACCGATTCTGTGGACGTGGCTTGGTGGGCGTGGTGTGGCTTGGTGGGTGTGGTTTGGTGGGCATGGCACCCCACTCCAGGGGAAGGATACTGCAAAACCCCCATTACCTCCCCACTCCTGGGGGAAGGATACTGCAAAATCTCCATTCCCACCCCAGTCCAGGGGAAGGATACTGCAAAATCCCCATTCCCTCCCCATTCCTGGGGGAAGGATATTAAAAAATCTCCATTCCCACCCCACTCTGGGGCCAGCCAGAAGTGGTATTTGCTTGTTCTCCAAAATACTCAAAATTTCCGCTACCGGTTCTCCGAACTGCTCAAAATTTCCACTACCAGTTCTCCAGAACCTGTCAGAACCTGCTGGATTTCACCCCTGGCTCAGACAAAACACCCAGGAAAGCTTTGGTCTGTCAGATCATCATCATCATCATCATCATCATCATCATCATCATCATCATCATCATCATCCTAGCCATTGTCTTTCCATTGTAGGATGAAGGCCTCTTCCACCTGTTTCCAACCTAAATGATCCTGAGCTTTCTTTTGCCAATTGGGCCCACAATACTTGTTGATGTCATTCATCCATCTTGTTTTAGGTCTCTTTCGTGGACACTTTTTTTATCAAATGGGAACCATGGTCCATCTGCTATCAGTTCTTCTTGCTGTGTGACCAGCCCATTTCCATTTCAATTCTTTTATTTGCTTGATGATATTGTATATTTTTACAGATTTACAACTTTACAGATTAACAGAGTTGGAAAGGACCTTGTAGGTCATCTAGTCCAACCCCCTCCCAAGCAGGAGACCCTACACCATTTCTGACAAATGGCAGTCCAGTCTCTTCTTGAAAGCCTTCAGTGATGAAGCTCCCACAACTCCCGAAGGCAAGCTCTTCCATTGGTTGATTGTTCTCCCCTCAGAAAAAATATCCTTATTTCCAGGTTGAATAACTCCTTGTTCAGGTTTCCATCCATTATTCCTTATCTGGCCTTCAGGTGCCTTGGAAAATAGCTTGACCCCTTCCTCTCTGTGGCAGCCCCTCAAATATTGGGACACTACTATCATATCTCCCCTGGTCCTTCTCTTCACTAGACTAGATTTTTGTTTGTTCTCTAATCTACGTGCTGGTCATTCTATCTTGTCTTGTAATGCCGAGCATGTATCTTTCCATAGCTGTTTGCGCCACTTGTAGTTTTTGTATCAGTTGTGAGATTAGTGTCCATGTTTCGGTGGCATACGTTAGAACAGGTAGCATACACTGATAAAAAAAAAATTCTTTTGAGGCATAGGGGGAAGTTAATATCTAATCTTAATCCCAGGATAAGATTCTTGAAATTTTAAGGGGTGGGGAAAGCCTATTGGCAGCCAAGGCAATTCCTTGAAATAGACCTTATTTATTCCTTAGTTAGGTTATTCCTTTGAATAGTTTGAATAGTTTGGTGGGACACGGTGGCTCAGTGGCTAAGATGCTGAGCTTGTCAATCAAAAGGTCGGCAGTTCAGCAGTTCGAATCCCTAGTGCTGCATAACTAGGGTGAGCTCCTGTTACTTGTCCCAGCTTCTGCCAACCTAGCAGTTCAAAAGCACGAAAAAAATGCAAGTAGAAAAATAGGGACCACCATTGGTAGGAAGGTAACAGCGTTCCGTGCGCCTTTGGCGTTTAGTCATGCCGGCCACATGACCACGGAGACGTCTTCGGACAGCGCTGGCTCTTTGGCTTTGAAACGGAGATGAGCACTGCCCCCTAGAGTCAGGAACGACTAGCACATATATGCGTGGGGAACCTTTACCTTTACCTTGAATAGTTTAATGAAGTATAATTTTGCATTGTGTGTGACTTCTATGTCAATCTCAAGGGCAGCGTTACATATAGCACAGTGCAATAATCAATTTGGAGATTAGCACTACAAGGAACAGTGTGCCCGGGCTACCTTTATCTAGGAACAACTGGAGCTGGAAAAACACATTCTTTGCCAGAAAAAACACTCGTGCTTCCATTCAGGGTCTACCCATCTGTTCTTTCAAAAGGAATACAATCCCGTCTAAAGTAGGTACTCTCCCGGGAATAAGGCAGCTGCCTATGAGGAGGCGCCTATAATGCGCACCTCTATTTTGGTGTGATCATGTTGCATCTTCCTGATGTGATCATGTTGCATCTTCCTGGCCGACGTATCCAGAGATATTTCTTTACAATAGCCTTCTTAAGAATTAACAAGATTTTACTTCTCTTATTAAGGTCGTCCATCAAGAGGAAACCAAAGCTAATTCAATCCTCTTACCAGACTGAAATAGGCCAGATCATGCATATCTTCTAAGAGTATCTGAGCATCTGTACAAGTCCTCTCGCCAGCAGTCTTTCTAAGGGCTCTGGGAAGTAACAGGGTACCACGGCTGCAAATAGTCTGATTTAAACGTATCTTCCTCAGTTGGAAGTACATCAGTCTGTTCAGTTTGATTTCATCAAACTGAAGGGTGAATAATGTTTATGTTCATGCTTATAATTTATTTTATTTTATTTTAATTTTTTATATTTATTTATTTATTTTGTCAAGTAAGTATTAGATAATATTTATAAGTATAAGCATGAATTGAATACATAAAATGAATACAAATAAAGGGAACATTAGGACAGGGACCGTAGGTACGCTGGTGCTCTTATGCATGCCCTTTACAGACCACTTAGGAATGGGGTGAGGTCAACAGTAGACAGTCTTAGGTTAAAATTTGGGGGGTTTTGGGATGAAACCACAGAGTCAGGTAGTGCATTCCAGGCATTGACCCCTCTGTTCCTGAAGTCGTATTTTCTGCAATCGAGTTTGGAGCGGTTCACTTTAAGTTTGCATCTATTGTGTGCTCGTGTATTGTTGTGGCTGAAGCTGAAGTAATCATTGACAGGTAGGACATTGTAACAGACAATTTCATGAGCTACGCTTATCTATTATACTAGTATATTAGTGAAAATATTTACAGACCCGTCGCATCCTGGACATAAACTGTTTCAACTCCTACCCTCAAAACGACGCTATAAAGCACTGCACACCAGAACAACTAGACACAAGAACAGTTTTTCCCTGAACGCCATCACTCTGCTAAACAAAGAATTCCCTCAACACTGTTAAACTAGTTATTAAATCTGCGATACTATTAATCTTCTCATCGTTCCTATCACCCATCTCCTCCCACTTATGACTATGACTGTAACCTTGTTGCTTGTATCCTTAAGATTTATATTGACTGTTTCCTATTATGATTTGATTGCTTATTTGTTCCCTATGACTATCATTAAGTGTTGTACCTTATGATTCTCGACGAATGTATCTTTTCTTTTATATACACCAAGAGTGTATGCACCAAAACAAATTCCTTGTGTGTCCAGTCACACTTG